GAGCACTGTTTACCATTACTCCCGAGAGAACATTGTTTCTTCTTTTTGTATGCTTTTAGTTTTTGCGCCTTTATGTGGCACTTATAACTGTAATAAAAGTAATGGTTGCGGTTTGAGTGTTACGTTATTTCTAACAACTTATTTAAATCACTTGTCGTAACAGCGCAGTCAGCAAACATTTTCATCTGAGTTTTTCTAGTAACTCTATTTCTCGTATTTATTTAATTATACAAACACACTAGAGTATTGCGTAATTATCGTGGTTACCAAATGCTGAGTATATTTTAAATTCAATTTTTCGGTATGTGTTACTAACGGGGCTGCAACCTCTTTAGGTCTGGGCCTCAGATTTGAGTATCTGTTTCATGATAATCTCATAGCTAAGTCGGTGATCAGCCTTCTGTGCCTTACGCACACGCCGTCGACTTTTAGGTAAGCCGGTTTTCTCATGATGTTTTCCTTCACCGTTCGAGCGAATGTTAAATGCGCACATAGAAAGAGAAAAAGAAATCCATCGGAGAATTAACGTCAAATATGCGCACATAATCTGGTGAAGTACACATATACGTAGTTGGTCCCAAAGTTCTGTCACTAGCACATTATTTCTACATTTCGAGCAGGATTTTATAAAAAAAATATTGCATTCTATTTTGGAATGTTTGATTATTGTTTTAAAACAAAAAACAATAACTTTCCGTAATTTTTCACGATGGAGTGGACATTGAAAGTAAACCGAACAGTTGTTATTGCGTTGCACCGCTGTGGACACTCGCCGAGTACCATTTTCAAGTTGCTCAAAAATTTGAATATAACGCTTAGGTTTGTGTACGGTACTATTGATAGGTACCTTGAAGTCTCCAGTGTTGAGGACAAGAAAAGAACTGGCTGGCCACGCTCCGCAAGAACACCAGCAGTAATCAAAGCTATCAAGGCGCGGATAGTAAGAAATCCTGTCCGAAAACAGAAGTTGATGGATTTGCAGATGGGTGTCAGTAGGAAAACAGTAAAAAAGGTTTTAAATAAAGATCTTGGTCTACGAGCATACAAAAAAAGAGTGGGCACTTACTTAATGCTCGTCTAAAAGCAATAAGGCTTAAGAGATTGCGGGTGTTGTTTAAGCGGTACGCGAAAAACCGACACCGTGATATCCTCTTTACGGACGAAAAATTTTTCGATATTGAAGAGAAGTACAATAAACAGAATTATACAGTGTACGCTAAGAGTTCTGAAGAAGCTGAAAATAAAGTTCCAAGGGTGCAACATGGACATCATCCATCATCAGTAATGGTTTGGTTGGGAGTGTCCTATTACGGGCTAACTGAGGTTAATTTTTTCGAAAAGGGGGTCAAAACCAGTGCTACAGTGTACCAAGAGACGGTTTTGTATCGCCTTGTCAAAGACATGTCCAGCACCCTATTTGCGGGACATCACTTCGTGTTCCAGCAGGACTCTGCGTCTGCATACAAAGCCAAGACCACTAAAGCCTGGTTTGAGCGTCAAAACATCGTCTTAATTAGACATGAGGATTGGCCTTCCTCCAGTCCGGACCTTAATCCTTTGGACCAGAAATTATGACAGGGCTTAGAGAGGAAGGTCTGTGATAAACCTCATGAAAATTTGGAGAATCTGAAGTCATCTTTAAAAAAACCAGTGACTGAAATGGACACGAATATGGTGCGTGCTGCGATAGACGACTGGCCGCGACGCTTAAGGGCCTGTATTAAAAATGAGGGAGGTTATTTCGAATATTTTTATGCTTTTTTTATTCCTTAATTAATTTACTAAGAATTGATATATCACTCATTACAAACTGATCAGTACTTTTGTTTTTATCATTATTTCCATTTATGACAGAACTTTGGGACCGACTACGTATATGCGTCTTATACTAAACATTAAGACTTCTAGGCTCCCAAAACAATATTTCACGGCATTCGAATGCTCACAAGTCCAATGCTTGAATAAACCAAGCGCCAAAATATAGCCCTATAAAATAATATCCGAGGGTGTATATGATTTTGTTTTTGTCGCTGCATCATCAATCACGCGGTGTCGACTGATTTATGGCAATTCCGTAGCGAAACGACACGAGCCTAGCCTAGATGACGCGATTAGATCCTCCGGCAGACGGGCGGGCGGGGCGAAAAACTGCTGTCACATGCGAGCGACACTGACTTACAATAACGCCTCCGTGAGAGCTTAATGCTTTTCAGCTTTTGACGGTCTCTTTGGGCGTTGTAACCATCAGTTTAACTTGTAATTTATTTTCCCACATTCAAATCACGCGCTAAATAAACGTCTGTAAATAGTATAAAACATAGAATTTTTTTTAGTCTATATGTTTAGATCTTTTTTTTTTTTAAAATTTTACATTCGTTGTCTATGGTTTAAAGAGAAGGTTCTCATTTATTGCTCTTTGTAGAGAGATATATTTATTTAATACTTTGTTGCAAAAACAGTCTAAATTATAATAATTAAATAATAAGGAGGGAAACGGCCCTTTCGCTTTTGAGCGATCTGTTACAGAACCTTTTAATGAAAAATAACATTAAATAATAAATGTATAAAAGTAAACAGGAACAAACAGGTTTCATTATTTATTTAACATCAAATAATGAATGAAATAACATTAAAGAATGAGCAAGAAATGCAAAAATAACATAACATACAATAACGTAAACATAAAGAAAAAACAAACAGACAGATGTAGAGGACACATGAATCATGCTAATTTCTGATATATTGTAGTAAGGAAAAATACTCGTACGAACCCGACACTGGCACCTAGTTAATATCTCTCTGTTACATAAAAAACACGCTGAACAATAGCAATTCTAGTGATGTATTAGTATTAAACTTCCGTTTTTGAATTCAGTATATTTACAATTTCCGTATATGCACGGCAAATAAAACGCGATAAAGTCATAGCGCTATCAACTCGGTGCTCCCGCGAGAAAATTGCGAGTATTCATCATAAATGCGTGACGTTTAAAATTTCCAACCACGCGGCCGGCAACGGCATATTATAAATCAAAGCAAACAGGAGTGTGGCTGCTGTATTTCTATTCTAAATAACTTTGAATTAAGCAAGTAATTTTGTACAAACGTAAGCAATCCTTTATTCAGAGAGCGAATATCAAAAGTTAACAAATTTTAATTGCAAATAACATCCAAACTACAATGTAAATCCTCATGCGTCCAATAATTCTGGTACCTCCTGTTTGTACACCGATATTTATTAATCGGGTTAACATTATTCGAGTTTTATACTGGCTTAATTATTAACTATAAACATTATTGACTTATTTGCATTAAGCGTTCTGAAGTCAACAGCAGTAATTACAAAATGGCTACATTGTACTTGTTCCTCGGTGAATAAATATTGAATACTTTTGCATTTTAATCCTCTACTCATAAATTGCAGCATCTGGAATGGAGCATACTGCAGAGCTTATGTGAAGTAAATTAACATAGAGCCCATATTTGAAACTCGGATGGGATTTGAGAGGTGCGCTGCGCGGGTCGTGCCGACTTCACAAAAGTCCTAACGAGCACGTACCGCGTCGTCCATAGCTCGAAACGCGCTTCTTGCTCCTCTTACTCAATCGCGAACCACCCTATTGCATTTATTCATGTCGTTACCGCTAACGATAATTTTATCGTGTGCTCATTTGCCGGCGCCAGACTAGCGACCATCCGTCAGCGAGCGCGAACTAACAATTTGTACGCACCACTAAAATTTTTATTGCTACGTAATTGACCCCAACGCGCTGTCTGTATAATTTTGCGATACGATGTATATTTTAAATTATTCGTATTTAACGCAGAATGTTATTGACTACGATTTTATACGTATGAGCGGTACTCGAGCTGTGTTTTAAAAATGGGGTTACCCACTTGTTTGATGAACATGAGGAACATAAATTAAAATACAGAATTAAAGGTATGTTTAAAGAATTATTTTTTTTTACAACTGTAACATAAAGTCATACGTAAGAGGATAAGAGATAAACCTATTACATAGAGCCTCATTTTCGTAGCTCTAAGGTAGCTCATTTGCTACGCTTCCGATTATTGCTTCCATTAGGTTAACAACTGAATTGCTCATTTTCATTATTAAAGTCTAAAACTTTGTGACAAACACTTAACGTCGTTATAAAAATAATATAAGAACCGAGGAACATCTTGACATTTTCCGTAAAAAGCATAATAAGGTAATTGAATAGCGCAGACGACCAGTGGTCTGTACTCTGTAGTTAGGACGGCCACCGCACGGCGCACGGTGGGGGCATAATTGCACAAACTTTCATGTGCTCCGCATACATTTTCATAATTAAAGGGGCATTTCGCACCAACTGTTGTATCTCTACTGCGGCTTATTTATATTGTCTTGTTTTAATTATTTTTTCCTGCTCATTTTTCAGTTAGTTTTTATGAATTGAGTAAAAAAATGTTTGTCGGTTTCTATAAACTAACAACAATGCTCAAAATATAATGATTTTTATTAGTATATTGTATATGTTGGTAACATATACTTAGATACGTTTTGGTAACAAAAACCTAATGGAATTTGTCGTGGTAATGTTTTGACTTGGATAATTAAAAGTCGTAGAGTGACTGGTTAATATTTATTATAAATATGTAATATAATTGTAGTAATTGTGATTTAATATGGTATTCATATGTAAGTACATACCCATTTCGCTAAATGAATATGGCCTCGAATATGGAGAATATATTATATAAAGTCTTGTCACATCGTCTATTTTTAAACAAAAAACATGATAATTGTGCACTTGCAATGAAAAATCCATTCGCAAGCTACACATGTAATCACAAACACTGTTCTATTCCGTATCTATTATTAATTGTCTAGCATCTCTAAATTTCTTCTATTTGTACTCTATAAAGTAAATTCTTCCGTTATTTATTTCTAACATGACACTTGCACCTACAAGCGTGAATATCAAAATATCCTAATATATTTCAAAGTAAATATCTCACTTTTCCATTAAGGGTATAAAAGCAATTCCGCGAGAGCCGAATAATAACGAGGGGCAGTGCTGTCCGGTCGCGGGTTTCTTTGAATTTATTTGCATCGTAGCGTTCCCGTAGCGGGAACAGAATTGCCAGTATACCTACGACATATCGGGGTGTATCTTGTCCCATGAAATAAACGATCGATTAATAAACTGGTTTGAATTATGTTAAATGTTATTTATATATTAAAAAAAGTATCGTATTGAAAAAAATTTTGTTTCGACCAATTTTGATGAGAATTCGACTAAAGTGACTTTTAACACAATTTACGTTTAGATTGCAAATAAGACAAAAACGTTTGTACGTACTTTAAATGCAATACTTTTTAAAGAAGCTCGTCTATAAAAAAGAGAAAAATACGCATATTCGTGCCTAAACAAAGCGTTGGGCGCTCATAAAGGCTAATGTATGGATTTTTTAGTGTCTTTATCTGCTTACGGTACGTTAAGCTTTAGAAGCTTTATTTAATTAATTTTTTCAACCAATTGAAACATAATGGCAATAATTTTTTGTCATAAATAACGATTATTAGATAGATATTTAAATTCCTTGAACCGTTAATGCCTTCCTTTTGGATTTTAAAAGATCTATTCCGTCGATATATTGGGTTTTTCATTATTACTTTATCAGATAAAAAGAACTGAAACAGACATTATGTTTATGAGAGGACGTAAACACACCCGTGTGAATCTTTCAGCGGTTCGTTCACACTTAATTTTCTTGGAACAGTAGCGGTAAGAAATAAAGTTAAAATTAAGACGCGAGTTTATGGGGCGTTGCGGGGTGGGGACGACGGGGCGGGGGTGCGAGAGGGGGGCAGGGGGCGCCGGCCGGGCTCCGCGGTGTGAGAGGCCATTCGAATTCACCGCGCGAGCTGCGCCGTAGATAGCGGCAGGCGGAACACGTACTTCACTTCCACTAACTCCAACTATTGACAATATTAATGCACGCTTAGCAGGGCCAAGCGACATCGTGCACGGCCTACGGAATATTGCAAAAATATATGAAGACCTCACAAAAGTGCCACGTTCCATTCGTCTCGAGTGGAGCGGCTGTTCGGAATTTTAGCACACTTCTCGGATTGACCGATCCGTCTGCTCTAATTTATTCCATATCTATTGCAAAGAGTCTCTTCAAGTAATGCAAATATTAGACTAGCCTCGAATGACGACAACCATTAATTCCAGAATTGAAATCTGGAATTGCAATGGCTGCGGAGAATTTACATTCATCGCGGTAAGAACTTAAATCAAGTTCTCAGTTACGATTCAGTTGCGATATTATTTTATTAAAATATGTAAATGACGCCGTTTCAGCTCGTAGCTACAACGGTAAAGGTCTTAACATTGCGACGGAGGGTAGCACTAACGACGTAATATTTTCATTAGCGACGGTCCTAGTTTGGGCTGATATAGGGGTAAAACATTTTAATAACACAGATAAATGACTGTGAAAGGTAAATATATAATATGAGAAATATATTAAAGACTTAAACTTTAGGGGCAGAGCTAGCCTCAAATGATTCAAAGCACAAAGCAGTTTTCAATTTATCGGGAATAAATGCTTCGGTTGGCAGCTCAGACACCCAATTACCGCGCACAAAAGCTGATTACCGCGTGAGTGCGGGCGGCGCGGCGCGCCTCTGCCGAGTTGCAGCGCGGAATATTTCAACGACTTGTGAGGAAGTCTTCATTTACTCTTTACTAGACGCCGATGCGGAACCGCTGCCTGTGATTGAAATCGACGTAGCAATGCACGCTTGTGACAAATGAAAATCCTATTTCCATATTTGCGGAAAATAAATTACTATTTTGTGAATTTCAGCTAGAAAATACATCATGATAGATTAATATAATTTTAACGTCGTTTTAAATTACTATTTGAGTTGTGTACGATACAATTTACACTTATTTACCCAAATTTAAACATTATTAATCCGTTTATGTATTTTTATTCCTACTTTAAATACAAGAATTCAGTTTATAGACACAATTTTTTAAATTGTATTCGATTGTAAAACAATAACTTATCGGGAATGCAAAGTACTCCACGACAACTCGGAGCATTTGTACGGGTGTGTCATGTAGTGGCAGCTAACATCCTGGGAAATCATCGCACTCGACTTACGTGCACTGAAAAGCTATTCATTTTCTTTCATCTCTTATTTTGTGACACTTTCTGAACATTTTTGTAAAATAAACGTGAAAGTTCAAAAGTTAAGTATAATTTCATAATACGTATATAATAAGCGAGGACTGCGAACTTTTCATTGTTGGGTGAAATAATTTGAATGTGTATTCAATGTCACCTTAAGTGAAAAGTTACTTTTGAAAACATACTATAATCCCTAATAATACTTTTAGAAAATGATTCTAAATTTAAACACCTGCGAGAGTGATACGGACGTATTCTTACAATTGCTTTTTGAGCCAAGAGCTATTATCTATAAACAGAAAAACTAATCAAATTCGATGTTCATATTTTAAACGCGTAATAAAGTTTTACGAATAAGTTATGGCAAAGGGGAAATTTGGTGGTAGTTTGCATATAGTTAGATGCATTGGTATGGCACCGCGTAGTGGAAAAGCGTTGTACATTGTAACAGGGCACAAACGAGGAGTTATGACGGCGGCGGAGGATTACGTGAGTGGATGTCGTAATAAAGCTTGCGATGAAGCCGTTAACCGAAGATAAACGTAAATATCTCTGGGCGTAGCTGTCGAGCCGAACTCGCCTTAAACCATGAACACCCAGCCCTAACAACCTATCTTCCCTACTGTTTATCTCTTTTTGTTGATTTTCATATAAATCAGTTTTTTAAACAATGTAGCGAATCAACGTTTAATACGTCAACAAATAATATAATTAACTACAGATAATAATTGCTTTTGTCAGTTATATATTTTATTTGAATTAGACACCACAACATAAAATTGATAAAATGTTTGTCAGTGTTAAAGAAAAAAGGTGTAATATAATTTTTTCTGTAACTGTGTTACAAAAAAATATTTTACCTGTTTAATTGTCTTCTTTATCTCTGATTTCCAATCGCGGGCAGATAATAAGAGAATACAAAACAGTTTTAGTTCTAAAAAATCTAATCTGAGTTTTTCGCGGCGTGAACAATTAATTATTCATTAGTTCATTACGTTAACGCTTTCATCAAGATACGATGTAAAGGGCTAATTTAATTTGTGTTAATATATAATAACTAGTATTTGGGCAATTGAATTTCCAGCCTCATCTAACTAGGGCAGAAACAAACCCTTTATGATATATAACCTCATCACAATGAAACATTGCTGTGATTAATTTTTACAATCGTTTTTATATGAAAGCAAAGAAAACGTATTCACAAAGCCTCCGATTTATCCCCGACAATGCTTGACCGAGCACATGGCCTTATCTCCTAAATTAATTACATAAATCTTGTTTACACACGTCTTAAGCTTACGTTGTACAATAACTCAGCTCTAGTTTGCATAGCTAACGAAGGATAACTATACTATATAGACATTAGTATAACGTTAATAATTATCTAATGACAAAGAATGTATAACACAACTAAATAAAAATAGATTAGTACGCTTAATGCATTCAAACTTAGGTTTTGTATATGCTAAGGAACTTGCTATTAGATATACTTTTGCAAAGATTCAGAGTCCAGGTCTTAAATTTTGACCTACGGGAGTTATAATAGCAAATCTTTTCCTATGGACTAGCGAATGTTTTTTGACGTCCCCGGCCTTCGTATCCGACAATAAAACTATGTTATGGTCTATCTAATGTGAAATTCTGAGTAGCGGACACTAGAATAATAAATGAAACTGTAAAGCTAGTCAATCTTACATTGCCGTTAAAAAGGCGAATTAAAATTCTTTGTAGGTAAAGTTTTATCTAGGCATGTCAAAAATGCAAATCTCATCTAAAGATTGCATAGTTACCAGGTAGTTTACCTCATTGTTAAATTTAGTTTGTTATTGTTAAAACCTTTCGAAACATTATAACTTTAGTTTAGTTTAAGTTTTTAAAAAAGCAAAACGGCTTTAAAAACGTGTCTAGTTATAAGTTTGTTACATTCCAGGAAATAATGTACACTGGAGTTGTAGCACTATAAATTTTTGTGAAACAAAATAAAGAATTTTTTTAAATTGATAATTTGTAGGTAAAGTGAACAATATTTGTGTGAAATTAATCCTTATAAACTACAGCACATTTGACATTATTATTTCAAATAATTCAACAGCATGCATTCGCTTCTAATTAAGTCCCGGAACTTTTAAGGGTATACAAATTTGTTTCGACTGTTTCATAGATAATGTTACTTCGCAATCAAGTACTAAGACATGTGATAATCTAGTTAATCGTAGTCTAGCAATTCATTTAGTTATTCTTATTTTTTAGATATTTGTTCAGTCAAAAAATCCAACCTGTATAATACTAATCAAACCGTCCAAAGAAACTTTGAAACCCTTTACGATGCTGGGCTCATCGAAACAATACTAAAATTGGTTCGACCCTAGCTATAAATAAGATTGGCTAATAAAATGTAGCGGCCTGTAATTTACATAGAAATATTCGTTATATTTAATAACTTTTCATAACACATCTCTTGTGATATTTCAATTTAATATGAAAATATTAGAAGAAAAAGACAATATTCTAAGAAGCACATAAATAGTAGTCGTCTGTGTATAAATAAGTAATTGTTCATAAACACAAGTAACAATGTTGATTCTACTAATTGATTAAATTGGAAATATACTTATATTTTGTCTTAAATTTTGGTAGCTACGGGTACACAATTATACATAAAAGCAAAATCAACTAGCTCTATTACGAGTTCTAATATAATACCTAGTTTCATTAAGAATACTTGAACTGCATACAATAGAAAATAAATTTAAAAAATACTGTTCTACACTGCAGCTGTATTGTAGAAAATAATAACATAATTGTTTTACGAAGCTTAATTTGGCTGTAACAACGCTTCTAAGTTTTCAGTGACTGAGAGTTGGATTTTGTAATAGAAAGGCCGAAATTGAGCGAGTGGATTGGAACATGGCAGCTTAGTGCAGCCGCCGGAAGTAGGCCTCTAACGGCCACCGTATAATAGCCCCCAAATTGCCTCTTCTCCTATAATACCTATGTATTCCCTCTTTATAAAATAAAAAATAAAAATAAAAAGCCTTTTATTTCCCAATTAATAAGGTACATTTCTTTATGTGGTTTTCTAAACCTTTGCAAAACTTAACAAAAATCTATTAGTAGATGAATAAATATTATGACTATATTTCTATCATGCTAAGTATTATTATTTACAGTTTTTGATATTCTAATTATTGTATGGGAACCCCTCTTCAGGTGAAGGCCTCTTCCAGCTTTTGCCAGTTTTCTCTATTTTGCGCTATGTGCTGCCATTTGGGGCCAGCTATTTTTTTAATATCTTCTTCCCAGCGTGCGAAAGGTCGCCCTCTGCAGCGTTTTCCTTTAGGTCCTTTCCAGGTCGTAATTTTTTGTGTCCATCTGTCGTCTTTGAGCCTCGCAACATGCCAGCCCACTTCCATTTTAGTTTTAGTGCGGATTTAAGCATATTGTTTTTGTTTTGGATTTGTCAGCGTGTCTAATTTTTTGTATTTGTTAGCAGATGCTGGCCCATTCCCTTTTGGCACGTAATATTTTTTTTTATTTTATGATTCCACGTTGGCGGGTTAAACACGGGATCAGAATGAGTCCATGACTTTCTTTTTAAGATTTATAGGCATATCGTTTTTAAATAACTCTCTGTACTCCAATATTTATTCCATTTTTTTAATTTCCTTTGTACTTTAGTTCATTGCTACTTTGGCTGAAACCGACTTGTTTTCCTAGGTAGGCGTATTGCTCGACGTATTCTAGGTGTGGTCTAGGATTATGTTTCTTAGTGCATTGACATGTTTGTTTTGGAAATGTTTATTTCGAGGCCCACCTG